TCCGTGCCCCGCCGAGCCGAGCCAGGGCTCTCCGTGCCCCGCCGAGCCGAGCCAGGGCKRTCCGTGCCCCGCSGATCCTCGCCCGCCGCCGCGATGCTGCCCGGCCGGACCCTGCGCAAACCAGCGCCGCCCGCCGCTCCTGCAGGTAGGTACCGGAAGGTGAAGGGAGAGGGGGGACAGGACGGGATGGGACAGACACAGGGACACGCTGTCCCTATGGCTCCAGCACCGGGCGCGGGGGCAGCTCCCGGCGCGGCTGCGGCTGCCCCGTGTGGAGGCGACAGCGGCAGAGCTGCTGCTCCGAGCGAGTGGGGGGCAGAGAGGGGGCGGGGTGGGGGGTGCTTCATGTTAAGGAAAAAGTAAAAAATTGAACAAAAAGTGCCGTGTGGTGGGGATCTCATTAATGGGAYAACCACTCGCGTGTCCTTAGGGCGCGACGCGGCGTTGGAGTGCGCCCTGGAGCTGTCCCGCATCGGCGACATGTGGGACCTGCGGCAGAGGATCCTGAACCTCTTCGCCAAGCTGTTCAGCCGCGAAATGTGGGCTGCCCGCGGTCACGGCGAGCGGAACAGCGGGGGAGGAGGACCTTGGCTTTGTGGATTTGGAAGAAGAGGCTCCACAGACTCYGGGAGATGAAGAAACTTCAAATCTCGCTGCTTTTGTATTTAGCTGTCCGTGGCCGCTGGAGGATGGCTATCACATGATTTGTCTGAAGAATGTTACAGCTATATTGGCGTATGAATGCCAGGTGGGAAACAGAGATAACGACGGCAGAGCCCCTAAACCGTGCAGTGCTGACTTGGGGCGAGCTGGTGACTTGGGGAGATTTGGGGCAAGACTGAACTTGCCCTTCACCGCCGTCTGAGAAGACTTTCAGGACCCCGGTTTCCCCAGTCGCCCTCTGGTCCTCATGTCCCATAGCCATGTTTCACCGAGGAGCTCCGCCCACCTTCAGGATGAAGTAAAATAAAATTGTCAGTGTGTTGAAACTTGGGATCACACACGCAGGAAAACACAGTTGCTGGATTTTTGACTGCTCTTCTTTTCTAAAACATGGATCTTTCTGGATAGAGATCTGGTGGTGGGACTTACAATTTGTTAAACCACTATCTTTATTGAAAAGGTATTTGTTGCAGGATGTTGCTTTGCAGACAAAAAGTTGTAATTCTAGTTCTAGTTTATATTATAAAGATATAGTATAAGTTTAWATAGATATATGTATATAGTATATAAGCATAAAATATAAATGTGTGCATCACTACTGTATGTCATGAGTACTTAACAGAACTATTAATTTAAAACTGTTTGTTTAGTCTCAAAACACAGTATAAAAAGAATGTTCAAAACATGACAAAACTCAATATAAAAAGGTATTATATAAACTAAAAAAGAAGCTTAAATATTTTCTAATGATAAAGGAAATAAATCATGCTTCAGAGAGCGAAGCATATTTTAGCATTATATAAGACATATCTGAATATATACCACACAAACACAGATATTGAGGTAATTGTGGTGGAAGGATTCTTTCAATATTACAAAGAATTTCTTGATAACAGTACAATTCTGCTGTGTCTTTATAACCAACAAAAAAAACTTCAATAGAAGTAGATCTTAAAGTTAAATCTCAAGTTTTGTTAAGAATRTTATTTATTCAAAGAAAGCAATTCTACCTCTCTTTGAAGAAATAATATCAATAGAATTGAATGTTGCAGCTGGTACAAGAAAGTAGCCTTAGATTTTTGAATGTTTAATTATACTTACAGGCAAAGGTTCTTCCCTTGTACTTTATTTCCATTTCATTCAATGGCCTCCTCGTTTCAGTTCCAGAATGATGAAGCTGCTGCAGCAYATCCAGGAGGTGAGGGGTTATATATGAGGGGTTATGTGGGAATAACCCATCTTACCAAGGAGTTATTACCCTTGGCTGGCTTCAGAGGAGCTGAATTAAACATGTTGATTRCTGTCAAGGCAAACAGTAACTCTGYTAGTCAATTCATGCCAGGTTCCATCCTAAACAGTATTTTTATGGGTCCCAGTTAGCAAGAAAATGCCTGAAGCCAATCCTGTTTCACAGCTACCTCTAAGGTGACTGGTCAGTTCCTTCTCTTAACTAACCTTGAATATAAGTATATTTGCATTTTATAAGACTGTACAGTTACACTTTCTGATATTTGTGTCTATTGAAATKATGTCTTCTCCTGTCTTGTGGTGGATTCTTGTTTGTATTCATAATTTATTTTTCAGTTACCTCTTCTTAATCTGCCTTTGCAAACTTGTCATTACTTAACTCTGGTCACTCACAACCAGTTGTGTTGGGGCTGTTACATATTGACACTGACTTCTGTCACTGAGCAGAAGCTGACTAACTTTGTCTCCTTACCTCATGGAAGATTTTAACACCACCCCAGTGGCACTGCCAGGATTTTTGCTGTTGGTTTAGCCAATGTGTGGTTCCTTTCCCTTCTAAGCTAGTTAATTACTTTTCAGTGAGAACATAATGTTTCAAGAGTAGTTCTKATTTGTCTCAGTACTGCAAAAGTGTGTTTTGCTGACATGTACATAGGTCAGTTTGCCAGGTACTAAAAAATGAACGCAAAGAGTTTCAGATAAGCACAACACCAGCTCTCAGGCTAACACTGCATAACTCACAAGAAGGGTTGCTCTTGTACATCCTGCTCTTGGTGRAGTCTGGGAGTTTTCAGCATGGGTACTAAACAATGACCATGCCTGTCTGAAACTCTCAGGAAAATTCAGCATTAGCATTCACAACAGGACGGAATAAAACTGTTCTGCTCAAGGTATGCTGCTTTGAAAACCAACAAGAAACAAGGTGTGGATTTGTAGAGCCCACCCAATTCTTCAGGCTGTAGCACATATGAATACTATGAAAAAAAATGTATATTGATAAATGCATTGTCATGGGGATATCCAAGTTTACTGTTAGCAGAGTATTTATCTGCCTAGATATGCAAAGAATATTTGCTCTTTTTGAAATGTTTTAGGTTTTTGTGTGCATGGTTAAGGCTGGTAGTGTTCAACAGGAACTCRGGAAAAAGACAGGTGCAGGAGGTCAATGCCAGTAGATGACCAAGCACTTGCTGATGTCCACCCTGGATTTGTTTTGTTACTTCTGCAAAGGATCTGCTTTATGACTTTATCAACGTGAGTTTGTTTTCCTTAGGGCCTGTTCTGGATGCGAGCCAGRTGTGTTGCTGTATGCCTCACGCATGTATGTCTTGAGTTCTTGCTAAGATAATAAATACAAAGTGTTTACAAGAAAAATGAGTCACAAAGGTTGCTGCAACTCGGGTTTTCTTATGTGGATTGTAAACACATGGTTGTATTATGCAAATTCCATGCTTCCATGCCAGCTGGGCAAAAGCACCAGGGCAAAAGCAGAGTGCCAGCAGGTATGYTTCAGGAGATTAGGCTTTGGCTTCTGCCTGTAAGAGGAACAAGACATAAACCATGACCTCGAGCTTGAAAATGAGACACCTATTCTAGTATTTTTTAACTACTGGCTGCAGAATTGTTGGGTGGTATTGAGGGGTCCATTACTTCTAGAAAAAGCATCTGTGGGGATCAGTAAAGGACAAACATCCAAGTTAAGGGTTTTGTCCAAGAGGCGGGCAGAAAGGGATACAGCATTTTGTCAGTCAAATTTTCACTTTCTCCGAAGTTTGAAGCTGGAGTTGTGGAAGTTTCTSGGAAAGGATGCTGCTTATCACAAGGGAATAGCAGAGGAACACTGCAGAGCACATTGTGCTTCCTGAAAGCTGGGACTCAAAGATGTGTCTGTGCCGGGGAGAGCCTGAGGTCCTCACCTGCTAAGCCAAGCATGTCAGCAGGCTCTCAGCTGGCTCCCTCTGCTGCTTTTACCCGGCTTCTCAGGCAGTGAGCACGACGCCTGTGGCACAAATTCCTGCTGCAAGGACAACTAAGAGCTCCTGGGCCAAAGGCTCTTGTTTGTCATGGCCAGAAAAAAAATCCCAACAGATGCAACTCCCTGTTCTTTCCCACTTAGTCACCAGCAGAAGCCAGGGAGATTTTTACCTCAGAGGGCATCAGTGAAGTGGTCCTGAGAAGGCCCATAACTTGATGAAAAGTGTTACTGTAGCTGCTGCACAGAGGTCTGGTTTTGCAAAACTTCACCAGCAAATTCTGCTTGTGTGACTCATCAGACTTGTGAAAACGTCCAGACACTCTCACCTGCACTGCACTGGAGCCTGGCCCCTCTCCAGCCCTCCAGAGCAGTGTCCAGTCACCTACATAGCACGATGCTTGTGACTTGCTCCTCCCTAAAGGGCAGGGGGGGAAAAACCTATCAATGGTGCATGGCATTGCAATGAGAATGCACTTGACTCACCCACAAGCACCTGATACCAAAAAAACAAACCAAACAAAAACAAACCAAACCCACCTGTTGAAGCAAACTGACAGAACTGCCACCCAAGAATGCTCTCCACCTAACACAGCACCTGCCTGGGCAGCAAGTGCAGACCCAGGTTGTGTTGGCACTGTGGTCCCCAGGTGAAAATCAGCCTGGTGCCCATGGCCAGCTCATGCCTTCACTCCTGAGACTGGATGCACAAGAGGTATTTCCCAAACAAATTGCCAGACAAGGAGTTCTTCCTTCCTCTTTCCCTCGTGGGATGTTTTTACAAATCAGCTGACAAAAAATTGCTCGTATGCTACTGATTATTTTTAGCACACGCTGTTGGATGGGACTAAATTTTATCACTTTGCTTCCATTAGCATAAGACAGTACGACGACATGATGTGCATCCACAGAGGCGTAAGGAGGCCGGACAAGAAGGGCTGGGGATATTTCAGTCTGGCAGGGTTTCCCCTAAGCAGATGACTGTCTGATGGTAGGACAGTCAGTGAGCAATAGTCCCAAAAGCTGTCACGGCTGTAAACAAGGGTCCTCACCCAACTGCGTCAGGACATTCATTGTCTGGCCCGYGTAACAAAAGGGCCACACCAAGGCTGCCCTGCCTTCTCACGCATGGGCTCTTCACAATGCAGCTCTCACCAGCCCTCTGAGAACGTGCACCCTGGCATCACTCCTGCAGCAATGGGAGATATCCCATGGAATAAAATAGATATCCCAGTGATAAAACAGTGTCAGCCATTTCATCTTGGGTGGCTTTGGTGTCATTCCCTCATTCTCATGAAAGGACAGTGAGAGCACCAGCAGGCTCAGAGGCTCAGCTCCTCCATGCCACAGTCACCGCTTGAAGGGGCACCCCTTTTGTAGTGGACAGGCCAGCTTGCAAATCTCAGAAAAAGTAATTCCTTCCAGCAGCACTGAATAAGGCCAATAATAGGATGCTGGCACCTCCTCCCTCAGCTCCTGTGCCTTAGCTGGGATCACAGTTCCCTACTGTATGGCAGAAATTAAGGGCAGCATTCTGCTTCCACCTTCCCCTTTGTGCTCCTGATAGGGACGTGACGAAGCCACGGCAAATGCAGGAGGCCACAGTCACGTCCACCCTGCTCAGGAGCAGGAATTAGGGAGGCAATTTTTGACAAGAGGAGCTGGACATCAGACATTCCCAAACACCACAACATCACATCAAGGAAATGGCTTTGACAGGTAGGGAAAAACGTAAGAAATTTCAGCACCAGGTAACTTGTTTGCTCAGTGCAACAGTATCAGACTGATTCAGCTGCACAGAGGGGTGAGGCCAGCACGTATGGAACTATCAGTGGAAAGGCAGAAAGTTCTGGGTTTAGCACTGACTAACTTCAGAAAATACCCTGACTGACAGAAAACATCCTTCTAGTCACAGCTTTACACAYTGGGATGGAAGGGGAACTCCTTGTTTTAGCGGATGATGTTTATTGGCATCAAATGTTCTTTCTTATGATCATTAGAAATGAGGGTTATTTTCAAAAGGAAAAAAATTATTGCAGTCATGATTAATTTGTGAAGCCTCTTAGCTGGGTCTAGTGCTTTAATAAATAGTACTACATGAAAAGAGGAAGTAATGACTGACTTTTCCTATRGTCCAAAATGGGCTTTTACTAGAGKTTGATGGAGACARTCAGGTTTCATCCATGCTCCTGACAGGGAGAAACACCTCAACATCATTTGCCAGAAGTGGTGGGGACCAGATAATGCAGATCACTTGCTCCCCAGGCATCTGTCATTATGAGGCTGCTGGACACAGCAAGGAGATGCTGCAAAGGCAATTACGCAACTCAGYATTGCATAGAAAGGAAAAACCCAAACACCCAAAAGCTGGAACAAAAATCTCCCAGCACCATGCAAGGTGAAGGCCAGGGACTGGCAGCGGCAGCAGGGTGGACATGTCATCCCTGCAGCCATGGCTGGCTCTTGGGCTGACCCTCTRTGGCCATGGACACCGGGAAGTGCAGTCCAGGGCTGTGGTCAGGGAAGGCTTCGTGTCCTCTTGTCATTGCAGTGACGTGCTGCCCTGTGACATCACTTCACTGCATCCATGGATGTCCTACCCAGCCACCACCTGCCCTGCTCCTGCCCAGCCACCCACTCCAGRGTGGCCMGTGGGAATYTTCTCCCCAAGGGCTCTCCTTCACRCCATCCCTGTGTGGCTACAGTGACCATCACCCTCTGGTCAAATGTGGTTAAGTGGCACTTTTGACACATTCCTGGAAACAGAGATGAAGGAATGAGACACGAGAATCACAGGCCCTATTTGGATAGCACTGAGTGATACAGGGARCAGGAGAGCAGCAAAGATRTAAAAATAGGAGAAATTTAATGGAACTTTTTTAGGTGGAATCACGTTTCAAGCTCCTCATTTGTCTGTGCCCTAAGGCTTTCTCAACTGAGAGAAGTAAAAAAATTCTACTGCTTCATGTCTTGGTGGATAAATGAAGTCACATGTACTAATCAATTTACAGATTAAACTCACTTTGTCTCCTTGCTTTTGTATTCCTYTTCACTTAGCTACTGAATGTTGCAATTAAGATTTCAATTAAAGATATTCAAGGCTAATCCTACAAGAGGCAGGCTGCTTGGATGTTTGAGCCCTGCTGACCCCACCTCAGGCCATGTCTTAGGAGAAATCAGGATGGGAAGATGGATACAAGCAAGTCAATGAAACAGAGCAGAGRAGCTGGGCTGGCCCAGCGCTGGCGACAGCAGTGGGGAGGTGAAAGGCAAAGGATCTCTTCATGACTGAAAATGTCTTTTTCCTTTTCCCCCACAGCCCTGGGGGAGAAGCCAGGCTCCAGCTGGGGGCAGATGTGCTGAACCMAGCTCGAGGGGACTGCATGCTGTGGTATCCAACATTTCCCTGTCCATCCTCTTYCCACTGAACTGGTTTTATGCCTTGCAGAGTCTCACTGCACAACAGCACAGGCTCTGCAGCATCCCTCCTCACCGTGGCTGTGTGCAAGGAAGAAGGATGGGGGAAAAAGAGAGGCGTCCCAGGGCAGAGACAAGACTGAGTAACCACAAAACTCCTCCCCTTCCTCTCCGGCCCAGGAATGGGTCCCCGTGCCCAGAGGGCAGGCTGGGAGCCAGCCACAGCAGCCTTTCCCACAGGATGTGTCAGCAGAAGCTGTGGGTTTATCCCTCCTCACGTGGTGCTTGCTCGCTTGCACCCTCCTCGTGGGGCACCCAGAGAAGGAAACCGAAAGCAAACTCAGCGGYTTCCGGGCACAAACCTGGGGATGAGGGAAAAGCCCTTTGCACCRCTGGGATGGGAGAGCAAATGCCCTCCTTCCCCTCACAAAAAGACCCACCTGACCCTTTCAGGCAGCACCGTGCGCAGGAGAAATGGTGAAGTTCGGCGGGCCTGGCACAAGACGCAGGCGAGCGCCATGGGTACAGCAAGCAAATGTCAGGATTGCGCTGCGCCGTGCGGGAGCGCTGCCACAAGTGCCCAACCCAGCACACGGAGCAATGCTCATGAACCTGCGGTGTAGATACAAACACTCAAACCCGCCAGCCCCTTCCTCCAGCTCAGCCTTCCCCACATCACCAGCAGATGTGTCCATGYGCTGCCAGGCAGCATGGGATTTCGGCACCTCTGGCATTTCCTACCTCACAGCAGCTGAGTGGAAAGCTTTTTGGGCTGGCTCATCTGTCCAGGAAGGATGGYTTGCTCTGACCTGCTGCGCAGTGACTGTGAAGTCACCTGTGTCTCAAAGAACGGTCCACTTGGTGCAAACCTTCCCAGGAGGTCTCCACCTCCCACTACGAACTCTGCTCCAGCTCCACTCCATCCACAGAGAGGGCATCCAGCCCAGCACATTCCACCGGCTCTCTGTGGCTTTGAAGGGAATTTTMTCCCAG